ATTTATAAGGCATAAGGTTAATTATGAACCGACCCTAAAAAGATTTGACAGTTAGAATCTTGTTCCTATAAAACTTGTTTATGTCGAATTTCGTTGTTTTATTATAATTTTGAAGAAGTTGCTTATGTAGAATTTCGTTGATATTCTTTAATGTTATGGACCGAACCTCTTAATATTTGCCAAAGAGATTTTAGCTTCTATAAACCATGTTTGAACTTTAAAGTAATTTTCTGAGAGGAACCTTAAATGGGGGGTACTGTTAATTATGGGCCGATCTCCATAAAATTATTCAGAGATACTTTAGTTTCCCTAAAACTTCTTTACGTCGAATTTCGTTGTTTTACTATAATATTCAAGCAAGTTATGAGCGTTATAGTCATTTTCTAAAGGGGACCTTACATAGGGTAAAGTCAATTATGGAGCGATTATCATAAAATTAGGCAGAGAGATTTATGTTCTTCTAATACTTGTTTATGTTGACTTTATTTGATTTACTAGAATTTTGAAGCAAGTTATAAGCTTTAAAGTAATTTTCTGAGAGGTACCTTATATTGGGAGTACGGTCAATTGTGGGCCGATCACCATAAAATTTGGCAAACAAATTTTTGTTTCCCTAAAATTTGTTTATGTCGAATTTCGTTGCTTTGCTATTATTTTGCATCAAGTTATGAAAGTTATAGTCGTTTTCTGAGATAGATTTTATATAGGTGGCAGGTTCAATTATGGACCGATCATCATAAAATTTGGTAGTGAGATTTATGGTCCTCTTAAACTTGTTTATGTTGACTTTGGTTGATTTGGAATTTTAAAGCAAGTTATGAGCTTTAAAGTAATTTTCTCTCCTTATATGGGGAGTAGGGTCAATTATGGGCCGATCTCCATAAAATTTGGCAGAGAGATTTAAGTTGCCCTTAAACTTGTTCATGTCGAATTTCGTTCCTTTGCGATCATTTTGAAGCCAGTTATGAGCGTTATCGTCGTTTTCTAAGACAGACCTTATATGGGGGGTAGGGTCAATTATAGATCGATCCTCATAAAATTTGGTAGGAAGATTTTGTTCATATAAGACTTGTTTGTATGGAATTTCATTGACATACAGATGTTTTTAAACCAGCTATGACTGTTTACACTGTTTTTCGATGGGCCGCTTATATGGGGACTATACGAAAACATGGACCGATATGGCCCATTTTCAATACCAAACAATCAGCATCAATAATAAATATTTATTAATTTCAGCTCCTTAGCTCTTCTCGTTCGGACTTTATCGTGCTTTCAATGGACAGACAGGCTTAGACTTTAATAAGGAAGGAGAATATATGTACATACTTTCATGGGTCTTAGATGAATATTTCGATGTGTTACAAACGCATTGACAAAAACGATATACATATATATATGTTACATATAACATAGTTTTCTTCATGTTGATCTACATCACCGGAATTTTCCGCGTTATATCTCGAAATAATAACCAATGTCGCATTGATAAAATGATGTCCTTGTGTAAGGGTTGTTTATACCATAAATTAATATAAGACTTGGTCTCATTTCCATCGTTCAAATTTTGTTTGAGATCAACTACAAAATACTACTAAAACATTCTCAGATGCTTCTTCAATATAGTATCTGTGAACCTTCGACAAAAAACCAATTATTTGCAAAAAGTGAATTTTAAAGGAGAGCAAGAAAACAATTTTAACAAGGCAAAAAAAAAAAAACGTTCCAAATAAGTTGATTTTATCAGTGTCATGTCTTTGAATCTAGAAGACATAGGTTTACCCCGACTAGACAGAAATATCCCCCTTTATTTTGTTATGTTGAGTACAAAAACTGGGGAGCTTGTCGTATGTCGAGATAAGTGATTTTGTCAAATGTCCACAGCTATATATTTTCATAACAACATTAATAACTCTAACAAATCCAGTAAGGGTCGGTCCATTATCGGATCTATTAAGCCACTTTTTTCAAAAAAAAATCTTTTTAAAATATTGATTCATAAATATAAATGTTAAGATGAGCGATTTGTTAAATCAATATTCAGGTCCACCTTATGTAAATATATATAGTCCGCCTTTCGGGTAATTTCATATCAAGTAACACAACTCAAAAAATCGATTTGGATGAAATTTGTAGCTTTATCGGTCAAGAACTGCCGGTCTTAGAGGGGGTCTAAGTTGGACAATTTGGTCATACAGGGATTTATTGAAATGAGTGTAACTTTTTACCTATCGGAAGATATCGATTTTAAGAGATGGATCACTTGACACGAAATTGCCCACATGTATACCGGTTCAAAAAACAAATGTTATTTATAAAGTAAACTTTTGTTTTAGTTAAAAACTTGTTTGGGCCTACCCTAATATTATTATAAACATTTTACTAAAAGTAAAAAAATTAACTACAAGAAATGGTAAACAAAATTAATTTTTCCTAGTAATTATATTATGAGCTTTTAAAAAATGCAACAATATCCGGTTAAAAAACTAAAAGAGACTTTAAACAAATTCAAAACTCCTCCATTGCTTTACATCTAAAAGTAAAAGAACTTATAAGTTATAACCAAAAAAAGAGAAAAATTGGTACAAGAGGGTTATTCTTATCACTAAAAATGTAGTACGGAAAAAATCCAGAAAAAATTAATTTTAATTTGAAAATCTTGGGCAAAAGTTCAATAAATTTACTTTGATAAATTGGAACAAAATATAAAATAATTTGTTGTAAAGATCGTTTTATTACCGCCGTAAATACACACAGAAAAAAGATTTGTTGGAAATCAGTGATAATTACAGAAATTTGATAACATTAACAAAAATTTGGTGTTAACTATTAAAAGTCTTACATCATAACAGTTTTTCTATAGCTAGACCTATAAAAATATAATTGTAATAGAATTGAAGTTCCAATAAATATTTAAGTAGTTATCATAAACGAAACATACGTTTATCAAAACTATTGAATAAATTCGGTAGATGTAATGGTAATAATTCAGCAAATTTATAAGTGAAATCCAAATATTGGTGTTTGCAATCAAATTTTATAAATCCCAACTGAATAAATAGTAGCTTTTTTGACATTGAAAAAATAAATTAAAATTATTATTAAAAAATAATTCGAAAGAAACGAAAAATTAAGAAATGGATGCAAACGTTTTTATCTCAGCAGTTGGACGTTAATGATAAGTACTAAGAAGATATCTTATGATTTGCATGTGCATATTTGCTACATTGTCCTTAAATATATAATAACCTCTTTAAAACAATATTTTTAAAATTTTTAGGTTTTCAATATTGTGCATCAAATGTCTTTAATATGTGGCTTAAATACATTACAAGGTATCGCCCTCTCAAATACCTCTTTTATGCTGGTATAAAGAAGAAAGAGTCCAGAAATGGCGAAGGATAACACCATAATTTCTGTTATTAATATTAATTGTGGTCATAGGCTGATAATTCGTATATAATATTTAAGGTAAAATGACACAGAACGACAAATTTTAACCCAGAGTACTAATTATACTTTTCTAAAGGATTCGACAAAGCTGAATCCGAATCTGTCATCAAAATTTCTTCATCACATCTGGGATTCGATGTCATGTCCTGAAGTTTGAAAAATGTCTATTTTTAGCACTTTTTGAGACAACTTTATCTTAAAATGTTGTATGTTATCATCTGAAAGTACATTCTGACAACTTTAAAATGTGACATATCTTTTTTCTTTTTCTAGATATCTTCACCTAAAGCTTGATAAAAATAATAAATTGACAAAAACTGCATTTTTTCGTACATTTCGCCTTTATATTAAATTTTTTATGTTATAAGTTATATATTCCCAATTTTTACATTTTTGCCTATATAATACTTTTTGAATTGCTGTAATTGCTGAGATATCATCCGTTGAAGTTGACGGATGGACAGACATCGTTAAATGGAATAAGAATGTGATTTTGTATTGATTGGACCATAGGTGTGGATCCAATATTTTTGTTGTAAACAATATTTACAAAGCATAATACCCTCCGCATTATAGTACTGTAGGCTATTAATACCATGAATATACCGAAAACCATGTGTTTTTAAGCTTTAGGTAAAGATAAGAAGAGAAAGGATATGTTAGATGATAGGCAGAATGGACTTTCAGATGGTGTACAACATTTTATAAATAAGATTGACTTGGCGCTGTTATAATCTCTCAAAAAAGGACAAAAATGGTGTTTTCCAAACTCCAGGTAACGATATCTCAAATTCCAGATGTGATGTAGAAAATTTGGATTCAGCATGGCTCAATCCTTTAGAAAGGTATAACTCAGGGTTCTCTGACCGGTTCTGACCGATTGGTGTATGATACATAGATATGTATATCTCATGAATATAAATGATCAATAATCTCATGGAAAACATTTTGTGTTCTTATCAGCCTATGACCATTTTATTCTATGTATTTTGATAAATAAAATAATTAATAAAAGCTATTTTAAAACCAAAAACAAAAATAAAACGTTAGTTATTATTATTTAATCCAACCAATAGTTTCGGTTACTAACACCGAATTCGAATTTTATATTCAGTTGTGTGTACCAATAATTCAGCAAGAGAACATTGCTTCTACCATATATTCGGCTATTCTAATCGAATTTTAGTATAGTTGTTGCAACCGACCAAATTCGATTGGCAACAAATTCGGTTAACACAACGAATCTGTTTTCTCTGTGTATCTAATAGAGTGTTTTGTTCAATAAATGTTTACTTCTTTGAAAATAACAACTTGAACTTGTGCTTTCAATGAGCTGAAGGTCATCCAAAATTTCTTTGTTCTCACATTTCATTAATAAATGCATGCATGTAAATACATATGTATGTATGTTTGCATTTAGATAATATGAATGTGAGCAAAATAGGTTTGTTTTATCTAACTTGTTTTAAATAAGGAGATATTTGTAATAAATTATGTTTAAAACTTAGATTGAGAAATATTTCATATAAAAACCTGGACATTTGTGAAGTAAAATCAGAATAGAAACTGAGTTCATTATAGAAACATAAAGTTTAGTTTTCTGAAAACGTTAATTAAAACACAATAAAATGAAAGTAAGTTGTTAATAGAAAAATATTTAAAACATGGATTAAGAGCTATTATTAAAAAAAACTATTGTTTTTTTGCAGTTCGCTATTGTTACCTTGTTCACTTTGGCCTTGGCTTTGGGCGTTCAATCTTCCATCATTCCCTGGGGTGGTGTAGTCACACAAATTGCTGGTCATCCACTTGCTCACACATCCGTTATATCCCCACTTGGTTTACCTTTGGGTGCTGTTGCTCTTGGTCATGGACCAGTTGCTGTACACTCACCTGCTTCAGTCGCTGTACATGCCCCCGTAGCTGTACCTCACGCTATTTCTGCAGCCGTACATGTTCCCGCTGCTGTTCCTGCTGCTGTACATGTTCCCGCTGTTGTAGCTGGTCCCGGTAGTTATGTTGCCAAAACTCGTGGTGCCATCCACACTGCTCCCTTGGCCGGTCATCTTAACTCAGTAGCCAATGTCAATGTGGCCCCAGCTCCTGGCACCATCTAAACATAGAATTTATTCATCATCACCATCAACGTATTAAAGTTTTCCGCCTCTCCAAAAAGTGTGATATGATTTTAAAGAGAAAAATTAAAAAATTCTAAATTAGTTCGATTTTCGTTTAATGCAGGGTACATTTTAAATTATAATTGTAACTTTCTATCCTTCTTTATTTCTTTCTTAATTTATTCTTTTCTATTCTTTCTTTTCTTTTCTATTTCTATTGTTTCCTAATTTCTTTTAACAATAAAGCAAATACTTTGTTAAAAAAGTAAAAAATTATAAAAAAAATGTATTTTGACTCTCATTAATTTTTAGAAATATGGAATGAATTCTATGGAATCTGTTCTGTTCTAACTTTTTCACTATTATAAGTAGATCCGAGCTAAAAAAAAAAGTTATTATTGCTTTATTCCCTAGCCATAGATCATAGTCTTATGTCGTAACCGTCTGTCCATTTCATTTATGTCGATCATGTCTGGAACAAATGAAGTCAGGAAAATACTACCTTTAAAAGTTTATTTCAGATCTTATATGAGATTAACTAAAACATACTACTAAAGCATTCACAAATCCTTCTACTTACATATAAGTGCTTCTTTTAAATTAGATGATAAATGTGGATACGATCTAACACAAAAATAGAAATCCTTACTAACACTTAAGGTACATTCACACTTATCAAATTCGGCCCCTCTGTCGCATCTTTTCTAGGTTTTAGAACTGGAATGACTTTTACCAGGTTTTTGGCTATTACGAGGCTGTTTACTGACTTGTTAAAAATCATAGTTAGGTACTCAGCTCCCAGCTCGCCAATGTGTTTCTGTCGGGACCAATCTCTGCAGATGAAAGCGGAACTGGTTTTCGTACATCTGTCTCAGATATTTACTGCATGCTTGAAATTGACATATTTCAAGCATTAAATGGCAGGATGCAAGGGTAATATTTATACCCAAACCAGGGAAACCTAGCTATGCAACACCTAAGTCCTATCGACCGATAAGTCTTACGTCCTTCCTACTTAAAACCTTGGAACGGATAGTCGATAGTATGGTTAAAAGCAGTATACCAGACAAAGACCTTAAATTTAAGCAGTATGCTTATGTAAAGGGACGATCGGTGGAAACCGCTTTAAACGAAGTCGTCCACTACATAGGTGCATCCTTTGATAGCAAACTGTATACACTGGCGGTATGCATTGACATTGAAGGCATTTTCAATAACTTGCACACTGATACTCCACTCCCTAGACCAGTTTTATGTTGACCGGGTGCTCCGTAACTGGATGCAACTAAATGCTAAATAACAGATGGATAAGCTGCGAGATGTACGATATATCTATCAGGAAAAAGGTATTTAGCGGTATACCGCAGGGTGGCATTTTGTTACCCTTTACTCTGGGTTACCACGATTAATAGCCTCCTAAGGACCCTAACTGAGAAACGACATAGACCTGTCTGCTATGCAGACAATGTCGTAATACTTTTAAAGGGAACGGATCCAAATTACTTGTGTAGAAGTGTCAGCTCAGAATATGGCCTTGAGCTGAACTTATCCGAGAGGCCTCTATGTTAACCCGGCGAAGACGCAAATTTCTACGTATAGTGAACCTTGCTTCCTGGGCAAGAAGATACCGGTGACAGACAAAGTTAAGTACTTAAATGTAGTCCTCGACCGGAAATTAAAACGGAGACATCATATAGAGGATAGGATCAACAAGGAAAATCGGTGCTGGCGATATGTAGGAGAACTACAGGCATGAAATGTGGTCTTGTAATTAGACCAATTCTAGCTAATGCTTCAATAATCTGGTGGACTGCTTTGAACAAAAAGTGTAATATCAAAATACTATAGGGAGTTCAGCGTACATGCTGCTTGGATATAAGTGGTGCCATGTGTACTACTTCAACCAAAGCTCTGGAAACGTTGCTAGATATCCCACCCATTGAAACATATATAAGATATGAGGCGGCGCTTACAGCCGAACGGCTCTTTACTATAGGCGAACTGGTCAAAAGCGTTTATAGGACACGTCATCAATATATACTGGAAGGTTATACACAATCATCGGACGTGCCTGATCGGATACCAGACACAGAATATGTCGGACACTTTGAAACGCTGATCCCAGAGAGAATGTCTTGGTCAAGCGGAACATTAGAGCAAATACCAGTAGTAATCCGTTGTTACACGGATGGCTCTAAACTGGGGGATAAAGCGGGCCTGGGGTTCTATATTGAAGACCCAGAAACAGAAATATACCACCATTTATCTAATCATAACACAAGTTTCCAGGCAGAAGTCCGAGCAGTAAGGGAAGGTGTAAATTGGATTAGAATAAATATGGCGCCCATAGGGCTTAATATATTTACCAACAACCAGAAGGCAATTAGGGCTATATCAGGTGATAGAATTAAATCTTAGACCGTATTGGACTGTAAGAAAGCTTTAACTGAATAGTCTCCCAGAGGTAAGGTTTACATCATATGGGTACCAAACCACTCGGGAGTAGTCGGCAACGAAAGGACGAGTGTATTAGCTTTAAAGGGAAGGGAGCTCGAGGTAGTTTACCTGACAAGCGCAAAAAATTCGACGCTACAAAAGCTGAATTAAAAATATGGGTGAGAGAATACCATAAGGCCTCTTGGAATAATGAAACGGTGGGTAGAACCACGGTGGGTAGAACCACCCATCTCCTCAAAATGAGCTAATCTGAAGTTAGTATGATGGTACGTATTCTGAGTGGACACACAGGAATACGAGCACACCTATACAAAATTGGCCGTGAGGATTCAGATGAATGTAGAGCATGTGGAGAGGACAGTGAAATTCTGGAGCACTTTTTTTGCCACTGTCAGGCATTCGTCGATATTAGATCCAAGTTTCTAGGAAGTGATGTTATTACGGAAAATATCATTCCTGACTAACACTGATTGGAAAATTCAGACTCAATTTAGATCGTGCACTACCCAAAATCTTGTTGGTCACTTTTTACTTCCTCAGTTCATTCCACTGCAGTCACACACAAATTGCGAAATAGAAACAAGATCCTCAAAGTGCCTGTCGATAAAGAAGCCATGTTAGCTACATATAAAACGATTGGTCGGTTAGTGGTTAATTATGCATCTCCCGTGTGGTCACCTTTTCATAGTGATACCCGGTGCAGAAACATTCAAAGCTGCCAAAATGCTGCCCTAAGGACTGCTTACATATTACCTCGGAACATTATCTACACAAGGAAACGAAGGTCCCATACGAGGAGAACATAAGTAGTTCAGCTTTGAAGGACATTCATAGAGATTCTACCAATTCCTCCTCATGAACGTCGCACCGTCCATAGCAAACACGAAGGAAAACCTGCTGCGCAGAACAAGAGTAATTCTGGCACAGCTAAGATCGGGATTTAGCAACAAGCTTTAATGCCTTTTGATCTCGTATAGACCGTGCCGCCCCTAATAAATGTCTATCTTGTGCTCAAGGTCCACATGACTTCCACTACATACTCAAATGCTTAGCCAACCCTATTTCACTCTGTACAATATTAGATATAATATATCTATTTCATATGATTTATATGCCCTTATTTGGCTCCATGTTTCATATGGTCAATATTAATACGTTCTGGATCAAAAACAAATGATTTTTAAAATAAAATTTTTTTTTAGTTAGAAACTTATTTGAAAGATAAGGTAAACAGATTTATTTCTTAGCGATTTTATTATGAGCTTTTAAAAATGACAATATCCGGTTTGAAAACTAAACGAGACATTATCCAAATTTAAAACTCCCCAGATATATTCTCAAACTGTTAAAAATCGTTAAACTAAAAGCACAAATTCTTACAGGTGGGTTTTTTTTGTCACCAAATTAATAGGGACAAAAACTTAAACTTAAGTTTTGGTTTAAAGTTAAAGTTAATTAACTTGGACAAAAGTTCAATACATTTACATATACGTTGATAAATTAGAGCTCTATTACAGCTGTATTTAATTTAAATCTCTTGATCTAATAGAGTATTTTGCTCAATAAATATTTACTTCTTTCAAAATAGCAACTTGAACTTGTACTTTCAATGAGCTGAAGGTCATTCAAAATTTCTTTGTTCTTACATTTCATTAATAAATGCATGTATGTATGTACATTAGGGTGGCTCAAAATGGATGTAGCTGTTTCTCATTGCAAATCAAAATTTAGATCATTCAATATTTGGTGAGCTGGATCAAAGGAAAAATTTATTTTTTTAAAACAAATGTAAAAGAAAAACAAGTAAGAATTTATAGTAGGGCATGGCCGACCATTAAATACCCTACAACAGTGATAAAGTTCCAAATTTTGATTCTTTTTTATTTTAGTAATGGGATTTAAAACTACAGAATGTAGAATATCATCGTGAATTTTGACCATCAAGTCATTTTCTGAAGGATAGTTTGTAAGGAGAATAGGGTCAAATGAAGCCCGATCATAACGAAAATCAGTATCACTAGGGGGGCTAAGCGAAATAATGGACCGATTTCAGCCATTTTCAATAGGCTTCGTCCTTGGAAAGGATTTTCTTTAAATTATTTTTAAATCTACACAAAGACAGACTGACAGACAGACAGAAGGACGAACGTATCTAAATCGACTCAGAAAGTGATTCTGAGCAGATTGGAATATTTTTGGGTGTTACAAACATCAGCATAGACGCATAATACCCTCCCCACTATAGTGGTGTAGGGTATAAATATGGCAAAAACTTTAAAAAAATATCAATCCTTTCATCTAGCTCACCAAATATAGGGCCCAGAACAAACATTTTAAGAAACTGTATCTTAGAATGAACCAAGTTTTAATTATAGGTTTGAAAATATTTTCTCCATAGAAACGAAGCCGCCCTAAAGCACATACATACTTACATATATATACATACATATGTATGTGTAGTATTAATGTAAACTAAATATGTTTGTTCTAACTTTTTCCAACTTGTTTTACAAATGGAGAGATTTGTAATAAATTATGTTTATAACTTAGATTGAGAAATTTTTCATATAAAAACCTGGACATTTGTGAAGTAAAATCAGAATAGAAACTGAGTTCATTATAGAAACACAAAGTTTAGTTTTCTGAAAACTTTAATTAAAAACAATAAAATGAAAGTAAGTTGTTGCTAAATAAATATATAAAAAAATGGATTGAGTGCTATTATTAAAAAACTATTATTTTTTTGCAGTTCGCTATTGTTACCTTGTTCACTTTGGCCTTGGCTTTGGGCGTTCAATCTTCTATCATTCCCTGGGGTGGTGTAGTGACACAAATCGCTGGTCATCCACTTGCACACACATCCGTTATATCCCCACTTGGTTTACCCTTGGGTGCTATTGCTCTTGGTCATGGACCAGCTGCTGTTGCTGTACATCCACCTGCTGCTGTCGCTGTACATGCTGCACCTGCTGCCGTCCATGTTCCCGCTGCTGTTCCTGCTGCCGTGCATGTTCCTGCTGTTGTAGCTGGTCCCGGTAGTTATGTTGCGAAAACTCGTGGTGCTATCCATACTGCTCCCTTGGCCGGTCATCTTAACTCAGTAGCTAATGTTAATGTTGCCCCAGCTCCTGGCACCATCTAAACATAGAATTTATTCATCACCACCATCAACGTATTAAAGTTTTCCGCCTCTCCAAGAAGTGTGATGTGATTTTAAAGAGAAAAAATTAAATAATTTTAAATTAGTTCGATTTTCGTTTAATGCAGGGTACATTTTAAATTTTAATAGTAATTTTTATAGTATAATGGGCCATATCCGGTTATACTTTCTTACTTTGTTTTATTTCTTTTTGTAATTTATTCTTTTCTGTTTTTTCTATTTTTCTTTACTTTACTTTTGTATTTTTCTTTACTTTACTTTTCCTTTTCTATTGTTTCCTAATTTCTGTTAATAAAGCAAATACTTTGTTAAAAAAGTGAAAAATAATAAAACTGCATTTTGACTTTTAACAAGTTTTAAAAATATGGAACGAAAAATTATTCTCTGGGTCAAAAAAAAACTAAAAAAAAGTTCGAAGCTATGTTCAAAAAACAGTTCCCGTGGACCGAACCGGTTGAAATTTGTCAGTGTTAAGTAAAGTTCATGACAATATCATATTATTTTCGAATTTTTGGAATTGAATTCGAAAATGAAAAATTATTTTTTATTTTTGATTTTCGTAACAATAGCAAAAAGTTATAAACCTAATGTACATAATAGAAGTGAAAGTATTTGTGAAATTGTTTAAAACATTCTCTATACGCATTTTAACTTTGTATGAATGATGCTACACGTCTTCTATTAATAATTAATTCATGTGGGAGTTCAAGGATTCCAGCTAATTTTTTTTTTTTTTGTAAGGGATGTGGCACGCCCACTATGGCTGGTATAAGGGTGTGTAACGCTTAGTCGCACAGTCACTCCTCTATGGGGGATCTGTTGACTTCGGCAACAGTGCCGAACTTATTCCGAATTATAGATTTCACTGTGTATCAGCCTTTTAACAGACTCACTCCAGTTATAAGGGCGGTTAACTCTTAGTCCCACAGTCACTTCTCTATGGGGTATCTGTTGACTTCGGCAACAGTGCCGAACTTATCCCGAATTATAGATTTCACCGTGTATCAGTCTCTCCTGGAGATTGCAATCACACTAAAATGGGGTCTTTCTCCAAAGTAACATATGTTACTCCCAGTAAAATATTTTCAAATTTTGGTAATAAGTATTGCAGGTAATGTACTTATTTCACACATTACTTGGTAATGAGTGGTCTTTATTAAAAAAATTGTTTCAGTTTATTGGATAGGATCTGTAGGCAGATGTATAGAGCGTAAGTCTAATAAGGAATTAGTTAATAGGTTTAAATCTAGTCGATATTAGAAGATTCTTGAAGAAATATAGATTTTTACCTATGTGTAAAAACTATTCTAAATAGCACCATAAAACAACTCGTTAATGGAGCATTGGGTAATAGAATAGACTAATAATAGACTAATAGAAAATAACTGTAAAGCCGGTTTTAAATCCGGAAAAGTCTGGTAAGCACATTTGTAACCAGTTATTTTTTGGTCATCGTCAAAAGTACTTACACTTTGCTCCAATAATACTTGCCTACTTACCGGGTAAGTAAAGATTTTGCTGGGATGCTCCCGGGGGGGAACAAATTTGAGGATTTTAACGACTTTGAGTATTTTTAACGATTTCCCAGATATGTTTATAATAATTTTTGTATTTAATTTATTTGGGAAGAGCAACGCTCCCTATTGCTTTATATTATCGTTAGCATAGTACGCAAACGTAACAAGTCCACTTTTTACAGAAATTGAGATTTTAATGCTGAATGGTAGTATAACTTGAAATACACATGATATAATCAAAAAATGACCTTATTTATACTTTAAACATGTACTTTTGCACCGGTATGCAAACGTGCTAAGTCCTCAAAACAATAAAAATATATAAAGAAAAAGTGCTAAGTCCTTACAATTTGCTATTATAAACGCATTAATTAGTCATGTAAAAAGAAATATCAAACATTTTGTACATCAACGTCTAGGAAATAGTGTGTAGATTGTAAAATCTTCAATTGAGTAAGAAATCATGGAATACTTTTTTAAAATAAAGTGAAACAAGTAAATATTGGCAATAAACTGATTTTCTTTAAGAGGGATGATATAGAGAATAGCTTAAGTTATAGACCGAATGTCGTAGTAGTTAGTAAAGAAATTTTGATTCCTATAAAACTTGTTAACTTCGAATTGAATCGCTATAACGCTACTTTAAGCCAGTTGTGCGCTTTAAAGTCGTTGGGGTTAGGGTCAAACATTGCAATATCCTCATAAAATGTTGTAAATAGTTTTTGGGTCCCATAAAACATGTTTCTGTCGGATTTCATCACTATTCTGGTATTTTAAAAACAGTTATAAGCTTTAGAGTAATTTTTTCAAGGGTACTTTATATGGGAGCTATGGTCAAATATGGACTGATACTCATTAAAATTAGTGTAGAAATTTAAGTTCATTAAAGTTTTCTCTATATAGAATTTCAAAGCTATACTGATAGGTGTAATGCATTTATGAGCGTTAAAAATGCTTTCTAAAGGGGATCTTATATGGGGGCAAGGATCAAATAAAGTTTGATGTCCGCCATTCTTTACTATATAATTTTTGAATACAAAAAATACCTTGCTCCAAATTTTATCACGATTACTACCTACTCAACATGTTTATTTCCGTTTAATTTATTTTTGGAGCAACCGCTTGTATGAGGGCTATAAGAAATAGTGGACCTACACTAACGAAATTTTATGCACTTCGTCCGAAGGACACAGCTAAATATTTGTATCAAATTATATAAAATTATCTTCAAAATAGAACCCGTACGTAAGGAAAAAGTTATAAGAAAATGTGCTAAGTCCAGCAAAATATAAAAATTCAAAATTTTCCTAAAAAAACCGCCATAAATATTCAACAGCATTACTTTTAAATGGTTTCACTACGAAATACAAGAGAAGTTATGAAGTTTTTTTGCTTCTCCTGTAAAATTTTCAAAAGAGGACTTGTTACGTTTGCGTACTAAGCTAACGATATATTATATTCGGTATGGTTGGTATAGTATATGTAATAACTCCTGTATGAGTAACAGATTGTTTAAAATTATTAACAGATTGTTTAAAATTAAAATTAATAGCCCCCATGTAACTGAAACCCCTGAATAGGGCTTTTGAGCACAAAATTTCACTTAATATACTCGTATTTCGACGAAAAGTGACACAAATTAGTTTTGTACTAACCTTGATGATTCTACCGAATTTTGTAATGATCGAGCCTCATATTCCCCTTTCATAGTCTCCTTCAAAAAATTGAACATTAATCCATCTATTAACTAAAACTAATAAATCGACTAAATCTGAATATCGGAGAAGAGGAACAATTCAACATTATGAAAAATAAATCACATTTTATTCTCATAACTGGTGTTGGGTATCATGTGGTCGACCACGACCGACTATACCTTCATACAGGTTTTTATACCCTACACCATTTTAGTGGGGAGGGTATATTGGATTTGTGCTGATGTTTGTAACATACAAAAATATTCGTCCTAGACCCACCTTAAAGTATACCAATCGGCTTAGAATCGTTTTCTGAGATTAAGCTATGTCCGTCCGTCCGTCCGTCTGGCTGGCTGGCTGTCCATGTAAACCTTGTGCGCAAGGTACAGGTCGCAATTTTCAAGATAATTGGATGAAATTTGGCACACACGTTTTATTCGACAAGGACGAAGCCTATTGAAAATGGTTAAAATCGGTCCATTATTTCACCTAGCCCCCATAGAACAGAACCCCCCGAAAAGGGCTTCTGAGCTCATAATTATGTTAAATATACAGATATATCGATAAAATACGGAACAACTAAGTTTTATAGAAGTCGTGATGACCCTGCCAAATTTCATAAAGATCGGGCCCCATTTGACCCTAGCTCCCATACAAAGTCCCCTTCAGAAAATTACTTGAATGTCCCAAATTAACTTATAAACACAAATATCGCGATGAAATTCAGCACAATAAAATATTATGTAAATATAAATATATTCACACAATTTTATCGGGCTTGGTCCATAGTTGCCCCTAGCCCCCATATAAAGCCTCTTTCAGAAAATTAGTTTTTCATCCATAAATTGCTTAAATGTATCGGAACAAGGGAATATTGAAGATAAATGCGATATTATGAAAAATAAATCACATTTAATATTCATAACTGGTGTAGGGTATCATATGGTCGGCCACGCCCGACTATACTTTCTTACTTGTTTATTCTATAATCTTTTGTATGAACTTTTAAGATTTACAATGTCCGGTAATGAAAACTAAACTGAAAGACTTTTACCAAATTTAAAACTCCTCCATTGTTTCACATCAAACTGTAAAAGAGTTCATTACCATAAATAGAAACTAATTAGTACATGAAGGTTTTTTGTCACCACAAATGTAAACTTGGAAAATTTGAAAAATCTTCCAAATGTAGACACTTTTCAATGCTGTTTTTCAAGCAAAACTAAGTAATTTAAATTTGATAAACTTGGGCAAAAGTTCAATATACATTCATATTTACTTTGATAAATTGGAGCAAAAATAAACGGTTTTGCTGTAAAATTAATTTTATTACAACTGTATTTAATTTAAATATTTTGATCTAATAGAGTATTTGTTCAATATATGTTTACTTCTTTGAAAATAACAACTTGAACTTGTACTTTCAATAAGCTGAAGGTCATTCAAAATTTCTTTGTTCTCATATTTCATTAATAAATGCATGCATGTAAATACATATGTATGTATGTTTGTATGTATGTAGATAATATGAATGTAAACTAAATAGGTTTGTTTTTTCTAACTTGTTTTAAATAAGGAGAGATTTGTAATAAATTATGTTTAAAACTTAGATTGAGAAATTTTTCATCAGTTCAGTTCGCTATTGTTACCTTGTTCACTTTGGCCTTGGCTTTGGGCGTTCAATCTTCTGTCATTCCCTGGGGTGGTGTAGTGACACAAATCGCTGGTCATCCACTTGCACACACATCCGTTATATCCCCACTTGGTTTACCTTTGGGTGCTATTGCTCTTGGTCATGGACCAGCTGCTGTTGCTGTACATCCACCTGCCGCTGTCGCTGTACATCCACCTGCTGCTGTCGCTGTACATGCTGCACCTGCTGCCGTCCATGTTCCCGCTGCTGTTCCTGCTGCTGTACATGTTCCCGCTGTTGTAGCTGGTCCTGGTAGTTATGTTGCCAAAACTCGTGGTGCTATCCACACTGCCCCCTTGGCCGGTCATCTTAACTCAGTAGCCAATGTTAATGTTGCCCCAGCTCCTGGCACCATCTAAACATAGAATTTATTCACCACCACCATCAACGTATTACAGTTTCCCGCCCCTTCAAAAATTGTGATATGATTTTAAAGAGAAAAATTTAATAATTTTAAATTAATTCGATTTTCATTTAATGCAGGGTACATTTTAAATTGTAATAGTAATTTTCTATTCTTTCATACTTTCTATAATTTATTATTTTCTATTTCTCTTCTCTACTTTTCTTTTCTTTACTTTTCTATTTCTATTGTTTCCTAATTTCTCTTAAAAATAAAGCAAATACTTTGTTAAACAAGTGAAAAATAATAAAAATGTATTTTGATTTTTAATAGTTAGTTTGGAAGGAGGATGTATATTCCATCAAATCAGAAGGAAATTATCTAGCGCCTAGGCATCCATACTATGGATTCTATGGATTTCATAGCACTCCTTTGCCAGTGTCTCAATATGATATCAGCTATGATAACTTTACTCAAAATTAGCTAAATTGCTTAAAGATCTTAAAAAATTTAAACAATGAAATTTTTATAAAAGAAATTTTATCCGAAATTTTTGAAACTTCCTTATATAGATCAAATATATCTTTAAGATCCTCTTCCGAAAGAAACAATTTTAGCAAAGTGAAAATATGTTTGAGATTCGTTCAAAAGTTATAAGAAGCTTTGAGAGCTTAAAACTCACTTGTCGGCTTCGAATGTTTAAGTTTGGAGACGTCGTTTCCATCAGTTATTGTGTTACGCCCAAATTGCGATATTGATTGAAATTTTATAAAGATTTTGACTAATTACCATGAAGTTTAAAGAGTTTTATTTTCGTTTGTGTAGAATCTTATAAACCCTCTCTCAAAATAATTTGAAATAAATTCCGACAGGTGGTAATTATTGACAGTTAGTTGATTTTAGAATAGGTGTAGAGTCAATTTTGATCCGATCTTGGAATTTTATAGAGAAACGCATAATACCCTCCACTATAGTAAAGAGGGTATTATGCGTTCGTACCGATGTTTGTAAAGCACAAAAATATTGGTCCCACACCCAACTTAAAGTATACCGAAAGTGATTCTGAGTCGATTAAGAGGCCGTAATTTTTAAGATATTTTGATCAAATTTGGACCATACGAGTTTTTGGCACAAGGACGATGCCTATTGAAAATTGTTGAAATCAGTCCATTTTTTTAACCTAGCCCCCATACAACCAGATCTTCCGATTTGGGGTTCTTAACTCATATCTACGTCAAATATACTACTATCTCTTCAAAACTAAGGGACAACTAAGTGGTATATTGTCATAAATGACCACGCCAATTTTTATAATGATGGGCCGTCGTTTGACCCTAGCCCCCATACAAACCCCCCTTTAAAAAATATCTTAAACGTTCAAAATTAACTTATAACCATTAGTATCTGGCGCTGAAATTCAGCATAACTAAGTTTTATATAAAAATACATCCCTTATACCAATTTGCTGGGGATCGGCCCATATTTTAGCTTAACTCCCATATAAAGCCTCTATTAGCAATTTTGTTTTTCATCAATAAATTGCTTAAATACAACGGAATTAAGGTAATTCAACATAAAGGTTTCTTTATGAAAAATAATTTTCCAAATATACTCATCATATAGTCGCCACGCCCGACTATACTTTTCTACTTGTTGTTTCAATAAATCTTGTTACGGACTTCGTGGCTATACCTTCTATTTATTTTTCAGAACGATATGAACGCTAAATTCATTTTCTAAAGGGGAGGGTGAGACGATCTTCATAAAGTTTGTTAGAAAGATTTTGTTTCTTATAAAATTTGTTCAAGAAAGTTAAGGAGAGAACTTAAAGGGGAGAGTCAAATAAGAGCCGATGTTCACCAAACTTAACATTGTATTTTCTGGGTTAATGAAAATATCTTGCCCTGGAACAGCCAGAAGGGTGAACTGATTTTCTTTAAAACTTATTGGCCATTCGAACTTTCATTAATTATAATTTAATTTTAAAAGTTAACTACATATATATTACTTATCAAGATAAAGTACATTTACATACTGCAATATATATGACTTAAGTTTAGTTTTCATTCAAATTCAACACTTTTGTTGTAATGCTAAAGAACAACTGAACTTGTACTTTCAAAATGCTGTGAAGGTCATTTAAAATTTCCTTATTCTCTGATTTTATTAATAAACCAATGAATGTGTAATAAATAAGCTGGTTTTTCTTGCGTATTTTAAAAATTATAAAATTGATTATAAATAAATTATGTTGGAGAAATTTTCATATAAAAACATGATCATTTATAGACTAAAATCAGAATAGAAACTGAGTTCATTAAAGAAACACAAAGTTTAGTTTTCTGTAAATTTTAATCAAAATGAAAGTAAGTTGATCCTGAAAATATATAAACATGGTCCTACTTGGCCCTTAAAATATTTTATCCTAAAACTTAAATTATTTTTTCTTTTCAGTTCGCTATTGTTACCTTGTTCACTTTTGCCTTGACTTTGGGCGTTCAATCATCCGTAATTCCCTTGGGTGGTGTAGTGACACAAATTGCTGGTCATTCACTTGCACATACAGGCGTTATATCCCCACTTGGTTTACCCTTGGGTGCTATTGCTCTTGGTCATGGACCAGCAGTAGTTCCAGCAGCAGTTCCTGCTGCTATTTCAGTACATCCACCAGCCGCTGTCGCTGTACATGCCCCCGTAGCTGCACCTGCTGCTATTCCTGCTGCCGTACATGTTCCCGCAGCTGTTCCTGCAGCTGTACATGTTCCCGCTGTTGCAGCTGGTCCCGGTAGTTATGTTGCCAAAACTCGTGGTGCTATTCACACTGCTCCCTTGGCGGGTCATCTCAACTCAGTAGCCAATGTTAATGTTGCCCCAGCTCCTGGCACTATCTAAACATTGAATTTTTTCTTCACTATCATCAACATTTTAAAATTTCCCGCCCCTCCAAGAAGTGTGTTATGATTTTATAGAGAAAAATTAAATAATTTTAAATTATTAATTTCGGTTTTATGTTTAATACAACGTACATTTTAAACTCTTATATCAATTTTCTATTCTCTTTAATTTCTCTCTGTAATTTACTATAAAAAGGTTTAAAAAAATTTTATTAAAAAATTATTAGAAATACATTATTATTGAATTAATTTAAAATTTTAACTTTTGATTAAGAAGTCCAACTTTTCGTTCGGACAATAGTTAGTGAAACAATAAAAAATATATTAATAACTCTTACAGTTTAGCTGTAGGTATCTGCGATTCGAATTCGGCTCGTTTCGGCATAATCGCATTTTTATACCCACCATCAAACAGGTTGAGGGGTATATTGATTTTGTCATTCCGTTTGTAACACATCGAAATATTGGTCATAGACCCAGAAAAGTATATATATTCTGGGTCCTTATTAAATTCTAAGACGATCTAGCCATCTGTGTCCGTCTATCTGTCTGTTGAAAGCACGATAGAGTCCGAACGGAACGAGATAGAATATTTGTGAAATTTTCCACAAATATTCTCTATAGGTAAGGTTTGTTTGGTATTGAAAATGGGCAATATCGGTCCATGGGTATATCTGTTTCAAAAGTACGAATATAGCGATAAAATTCGACATAAATAAGTTTCATTTGATCCAAAATCTCCCTACTAAATTTTATGAGGATCGGTCCATAATTGACCTTACCCCCCATATAAGGCCCCCTTCAGAAAATTTGTTTAACGCTTATTATTGGCTTAAAAATACTAGTATAACAATGAAATTTGACATAAGTAAACTTATCAAAAACTTCTCTTCCAAATTTTATGTTGATCGGTCCATAATTGACTCTACCCCCCATATAAGGTCCCCTTCAGAAAATTACTTTAACGCTCATTACTGGCTTAAAAATACGAGTATAGTGATGAAATTCGACACACATAAGTTTCAATGAAGCCAAAATCTCTTTATCAAACTTTATGTGGATCGGTCCATAATTGACCCTACTCCCCATATAAGGTGCCCTTCAAAAAATTACTTAAACGAACATTACTGGCTTAAAAATACAGAATACAGAAAAGCGATGAAATTCGACACACATATTTTTTTATACGAGTTAAAACCTCTCTATCAAATGTATTGAGGATCGGTCCATAAGAAAATTACTCTTAAACGCACATTACTCATTACCAAATAACGCTATTGTCACAAATATTACTTTTATATATTTTTTGCTATTGTTAAACTTATTTCCACAAATATTTGATCAATTAAAAGTAGTGGAGGTTATTTAAGATTCGTCTCAGCCGAATATAGCAATCTGACTTGTTATCAAATAATGTTATCTGTGACAAATTCATTCGTTCTATTTGCTTTTCATTTGAAACGATACACAGTGGTTCCAAACATAGGTAAATTATTATTTTTGACAATAAAACATAATAAAAGGTAATCTCAAAAAAAAAACCCGAATTCGACACATTCAAAATTGGGGCAAAATTGGGATATGCCTTATACATTTTTTTGAGGGCAAGATGTAGGACTAATATTTTGGATGTTACAAACATCAAAGGTGTAGGGTATACATAACTTCAATTGATAACTGCTTACTGTAATATCAACTGTATATATTATGACTTTTAAAACCAGTGTTTCCATTTAAATAGTTTATTTTAATGTTAAAGGACAACTTGAAATTGTGCTTTTAAAATACAACAATCACAATAAAAACCAGATTCATTATAGAAATTCAAATATTGGTTTTACGTAAATTTTTAAACGAAATGAAAGTAAGTTGATCTCGGAACTAAATATAAAAATAATCTAAAACTTTAATATACATATATATTTTTCCAGTTCGTTATTCCTACTCTGTTCACTTTAGCCTTGGCTTTGAACGTTAAATCATACGTAATTCCATTGGATGATGATTTGTATGATGATGATCCATATGTTCATACAACTGGTATTAGTTTAGAAACAGTTGTAGCTCTTGCTAATGACGCTGCAGCCTTGGAGGATCGTCTCAAAGTTTTTGTAGCTACAGCTTCTCGTAACGTCTAAATATTGAATTATTTTATTCATCATCATTACTGTTTTAAAACTATGTATTTCCGCACCCATAAAGGGACATTTTGCTTCATAATATCCTAATAAGTTTTGCCAGCTGGTTTTTTGATACTTGAATGGGAAATGCGTTAAAAATTAACTTTATTATGTTACAATACATCTATAATTATTTGAATATGAGTTTGTATTCTTATACGATAACGTAAACCTGTGACTAAAAAAGAGTTTTTTTAACGAAGGGTTATATAGGGGGCAGTGGGTTAATATGGACTTGTACTTACATCGTGATATAAGTGTTTATAAGTGAATTTTGAACTACATTTCATTTTTGTAAGGGCACTTTACATCCACCTTAAAGTATATCATTCGGCTCAGGATCACTTTCTGAGTCGATTAGCTTATGTCCGTTCGTCTGTCTATGAGTTCAAGCAAACCTTGTACTGCAGGTCACAATTTTCAACATAATATGATGAAATTTGGCACATAATCATCTTTTGATCCAAGGACGAAAAAAGCCTTTTTTGAGAATGAATAGTTAAAATATTTCGGCATTAGTAGAAAAACAAGTGAGAGTGTTTTATTCGGCTGTGCCGAATCTCATATACCCACCATCAAACCGTATACCATAAAAGGAATGCTCCCCTATAAACATCAGGGTGGTATTACTCATTAAATTTACTGACGAGGACCTTATATGAGAGGTAGGGTGAATTGTTGACCGTTTTTATACCCACCATCAAAAAAGATGGGGGGTATATTGACCATAAAAGGAATGCTCCCCTATAAACATCAGGGTGGTATTACTCATTAAATTTACTGACGAGGACCTTATATGAGAGGTAGGGTGAATTGTTGACCGTTTTTATACCCACCATCAAAAAAGATGGGGGGTATATTGATTTTGTCATTCCGTTTGTAACACATCGAAATATTGGTCATAGACCCACAATAGTATATATATTCTGGGTCCTCATTAAATTCTAAGTCAATCTAGCCATGTCTGTCCGTCTGTCTGTCTGTTTGTTGAAAGCACGATAGAGTCCGAATGGAAAGAGCTAGAGGGTTGAAATTTCACATAAATATTTCTTACAGGTAAGGTTTGTTTGGTATTGAAAATGGGCAATATCGGTCCACATTTTCTGATAGCCCCCATACAAGTGGCCCCTCGAAAAGCAGCTTTAACAGCGATATAGCGATAAAATTCGACATAAGTAAGTTTCTTATGATCCAAAATTATTATGCAAATTTTATGAGGATCGGTTCATAATTGACCCTACCCCCCATATAAGGTCCCCTTCAGAAAATTACTTTAACGCTCATTACAGGCTTAAAAATAATAGTATATAGATTAAATTCGACATAAGTAAGTTTCATACGAGTCAAAATCTATCTAAAAAATTTTATGAGGATCGGTCCATGATTGACCCTCCCCCCCATATAAGGTCCCCTTTAAAAAAATTGGCATTAATGGCTTAAAAATACGAGTGTAGCGATGAAATTCGACACAAATAAATTTAATACGAACCAAATTCTGTCTACCAAATTATATTAGGATCGACCCATAATTGACCCTACCCCCTATATAAGGTCCCCTTCAGAAAATTACTTTAACGCTTATAACTGGCCTAAAAAATACGAGTATATAGATGAAATTCGACATAAGTTCATTCTAGTCAAACGAGGTTTGATGGTGGGTATATAAGATTCGGCATAGCCGAATATAACACTCTTACTTGTTCATAATTTTTTTAGACCGATTTTGGTTTATATAAAACATTTTTACATATAATATGACTTCCGGACACTTTCCGCATGAAATTCAGTAGGATGATTTTCGTTCCTATAAAATTTTCTTAGGTTTTGGCTCTTAATAAAGTTACTTATGTTAAATTTCATCTCTATACCTGTACTTTTAAGCCAGTAATGAGCGTTAAAGTAATTATCTGAAAGGGACTTTATGTGGGGGGTAGGGTAAATTTTAGACCGATCCTCATAAAATTTGGTAGGGAGGTTTTGGCTTACATAACTTATTTTATCGCTATACTCGTACTTTTGAAGCAGATATGTCCGTTTAAGCTCTTTTTCGGGGGTCCACTTGTATGGGGGCTATCGGAAATCGTGAACCGATATTGCCCATTTTCAATACCAAACAAACCTTACCTATAGAAAATATTTGTGGAAAATTTCAAGCTCTAGATCATTCCGTTCGGACTCTATCGTGCTTTCGACAGACAGACAAACAGACGTACGGACATAACTAGATCGTCTTAGAATGTAATAAGGACCCAGAATATATATACTTTTGTGGGTCTATGACCAATATTTCGACAAAATGACAAAATCAATATACCCCCATCTTTTTTGATAGTGGGTATAATATTCCACATTTTAAACATACTCACTGGTGTAGGGTATCATATGGTCGGCCATGCCCGACTATACATTCTTACTTGTTTATAATTAATAGTACAGAGCATTTATAATTCTAATGGATTGAATTTTTTTTACAGATTTTTTTTAAATTTTCCCAAGTGTTTTAAAGGGTTAATTTTGCGTATATCGCGCTTTGAATACTGAACTTTATACTATAAATTCCAAAATTAGTTAACCTATTTTCATACAATGTCAAATCAATTTCATATATATATTTAGTAAATAATTATCTGTGGCAAATTAATTTTTTTCGGTTTGATCAATGCACAGTGGTCTGAATCCATTAACATACAAACTTTATAAAACAGAACTAAATTCTGGCACATTTTTAAGGCAGTAATCAGCGTTAAAGCCATTTTCTGAAGGGGACCTAATATGAGGGGAAGGGTTAAATATAAAAACATAAAATTTGGTAAAGTGACTTTGGTTTGTATAACTTGCTCGAATAAAAAGTATTTGTGGAAAATTTCTAACGTGTTTTCAACAGACGGATATGGCTAGATCGTCTTAGAATCTATTAAGGATCAGGATTATATATAATTTTCTGGGTCTTAGACCAATATTTCGATGTGTTACAAACGGAGTGACAAAAACAATATTCCCCCATCTTTTTTGATGTTGGGTATAAAAATAGTGGTCGTGATACCCCTACAAAAAAATTGTATTATCGAATATTTTAAAATATTTAACTGTTAAAACGAGATTTTTTCAACAATATTCTACCTTTTAAGTTACATGTTATATAGTGAAAGTGTCAAATTAAAATTTAATAACATTAGAACACTAATTTCGACCACTGTGCAATATTATATCTAATATTTAAAAACAATCAGCATAAAAACTGAGTGCATTATAGAAAAAAATAAAAAGTTTAGTTTCCTGCAAATTTGTATTGAAATGAAAGTAAGTTGATCTTGGAAATATAAAAAAGAACAGATAAAGTGATAACTGAGAAATATTTATTTAAAACATAAAAATAAAAACTAAATGATTTAAATTTTGTTTTCAGTTCGCTTATGTTATCTTGTTCCTTCTGTCCTTAGCTTTGGGAGTTCAATCAGGTGTAAATCCCTTCATTCTCGTAGTTCCCTATGGTCTATCGCCAGAAGTTCCTGATGATCCTCTAAAACAAGTAGCAGGTGTAATTGCCCCTCTTAGTGAAGTTTTTTTGGACGCTGCTGACTCATTAGGCAGTGTGGATGTAGTTCCAGCTCCTGGCTCAAACTAAATATAGAATTCTATTTTTACCACAAAAACTTAAGTTATTTATTGTTGAACAAAATTGTAGACATTTAAGTCATATTTTGAAACGGGCTCTGTATAATGGCTAGGGTCAAATGAGGCCCTATAATTATAAAATTCATGAGGGTCATCAAGGCTAGTATAGAACTTGGTTTTGCAGTTTTTTGTTGCAGATACGACTATATTTAACATAAAGACTATACTATAGACTAGACTATAGACTATACTATAGACTAGACTATAGACTGGACTAGACTATAGACTAGACTATAGACTAGACTATAGACTAGACTATAGACTGGACTAGATTATAGAATGGACTAGACTATAGACTAGACTATAGACTATAGACTAGACTATAGACTAGACTTTAGACTAGACTATAGACTAGACTATAAACTAGACTATAGACTATACTAAAGACTAGACCATAGACTAGACTATAGACTAGACTATAGACTAGACTATAGACTAGACTATAGACTAGACTATTGACTAGACTATAGACTAGACTATAGACTAGACTATAGACTAGACTATAGACTAGACTATAGACTAGACTATAGACTAGACTATAGACTAGACTATAGACTAGACTATAGACTAGACTATAGACTAGACTATAGACTAGACTATAGACTATACTATAGACTAGACTATAGACTAGACTATAGACTAGACTATAGACTAGACTATAGACTAGACTATTGACTAGACTATAGACTAGACTATAGACTAGACTATAGACTAGACTAGACTATAGACTAGACTAGACTAGACTAGACTAGACTATAGACTAGACTAGACTATAGACTAGACTATAGACTAGACTATAGACTAGACTATAGACTAGACTATAGACTAGACTATAGACTAGACTATAGACTAGACTATAGACTAGACTATAGACTAGACTATAGACTAGACTATAGACCAGACTATAGACTACACTATAGACTAGACTATAGACTAGACTATAAACTAGACTATAGACTAGACTATAGACTAGACTATAGACTAGACTATAGACTAGACTATAGACTAGACTATAGACTAGACTATAGACTAGACTATAGACTAGACTATAGACTAGACTATAGACTAGACTATAGACTAGACTATAGACTAGACTATAGACTAGACTATAGACTAGACTATAGACTAGACTATAGACTAGACTATAGACTAGACTATAGACTAGACTATAGACTAGACTATAGACTAGACTATAGACTAGACTATAGACTAGACTATAGACTAGACTAGACTATAGACTAGACTATGACTAGACTATAGACTAGACTATAGACTAGACTATAGACTAGACTATAGACTAGACTATAGACTAGACTATAGACTAGACTATAGACTAGACTATAGACTAGACTATAGACTAGACTACTAGAGACTAGACTATACTAGACTATAGACTAGACTATAGACTAGACTATAGACTACTATAGACTAACTAGACTATAGACTAGACTATAGACTAGACTATAGACTAGACTATAGACTAGACTATAGACTAGACTATAGACTAGACTATAGACTAGACTATAGACTAGACTATAGACTAGACTATAGACTAGACTAGACTAGACTATAGACTAGACTATAGACTAGACTATAGACTAGACTATAGACTAGACTATAGACTAGACTATAGACTAGACTATAGACTAGACTATAGACTAGACTATAGACTAGACTATAGACTAGACTATAGACTAGACTATAGACTAGACTATAGACTAGACTATAGACTAGACTATAGACTAGACTATAGACTAGACTATAAACTAGACTATAGACTAAACTATAGACTAGACTATAGACTAGACTATAGACTAGACCATAGACTAGACTATAGACTAGACTATAGACTAGACTATAGACTAGACTATAGACTAGACTATAGACTAGACTATAGACTAGACTATAGACTAGACTATAGACTAGACTATAGACTAGACTATAGACTAGACTATAGACTAGACTATAGACTAGACTATAGACTAGACTATAGACTAGACTATAGACTAGACTATAAACTAGACTATAGACTAGACTATAGACTAGACTATAGACTAGATTATAGACTAGACTATAGACTAGACTATAGTCTAGACTATAGACTAGACTAGACTATAGACTAGACTATAGACTAGACTATAGACTAGACTAGACTATAGACTGGACTATAGACTGGACTATAGACTGGACTATAGACGAGACTATAGACTAGATTGTAGACTAGTCTAGACTATAGACTAGACTATAGACTAGACTATAGACTAGACTATAGACGAGACTATAGACTAGACTATAGACTAGACTATACACTAGACTATAGACTAGACTATACACTAGACTATAGACTAGACTATAGACTAGACTATAGACTAGGCTATAGACTAGACTATAGACTAGACTATAGACTAGACTATAGACTAGACTAGACTATAGACTAGACTATAAACTAGACTATAGACTAGACTATAGACTAGACTATACACTAGACTATACACTAGACTATACACTAGACTATACACTAGACTATAGACTAGACTATACACTAGACTATACACTATACTATAGAGTAGACTATAGACTTTACTATAGATTAGACTGTAGACTATACTATAGACAAGGCTGTAGATTAGACTGTATCTTGAGCACAAAATTTTCTACGTACGGACGCTTATAGAAAAATCGACTCAGAAAGTGATTCTGTCTATATGGGACTATTATTTGTTGGTACATTAAAAGAATATCTATTATTTTGAAATTATTTAAAGTATTTGCTTTATTTACGAAAGTAATAGGAAAGAAAAGATCAAGACATAAAATAGGAAAGTGTAGAATACAGAAAGAAGAGAAATTTAGAAAAATTATAAAATTTTTCTACATATTTAAAATTTTGTCACACTGACAGTTACTTGTTTTTAATGGCGGGAAATTTTAATACCATGATGGTGTGAAAGAAGGAAACCATATGTTTAGATGGTACCAGGAGCAGGAGCTACATTAACATTAGCCACCGAGTTGAGATGGCCAGCCAAGGGAGCAGTATGGATAGCGCCACGAGTTTTGGCAACATAGCTACCGGGACCAGCTACAACAGCGGGAACAGCAGCAGCATGAACGGCTGTGGGAATTGCAGCAGCATGAGCATGAACAGCAACAGCTGCGGGTGCTGGCAAGGAGATAGCAGCAGGAACTGTAGATTGAACAATAGTTGAACCATGACCAAGAGCAATAGCACTACCCAAAGGTAAACCAAGTGGTGATACAACTGCAGTGTGTGCAAGTGGGCCACCAGCAATTTGTGTTACTACACCACCCAAGGGAATAACGGATGATTGTACGCCCAAAGCCAAGGCCAAAGTGAACAAGGTAACAATAGCGAACTGAAAAAGTTTATTTTTATATTTTAAAGCTTTAATTCAAATATGTTTCAATGAAATGCAAAAAAAAATATATTTTGAATAAAAGCAATAAAAAAATTTATTGATTTTTTAATAATATTTTTAAACAAGTTTATCTTCAAATCCTTTAATAGTTTCCTTTATAAACAAGAACCAACTTACTTTCATTTTGTTATGTTTGTTAAAAGTTTTTAGAAAACTAAACTTTGTGTTACTATTATGAACTCAGTTTCTATTCTGATTTTATCCTACAAATTTTCATATTTTTATATAAAAATCTCTCAGGTTATGACACCAACATAATTTATTTTCAAATTAATATTTCCATATTAAACAAAATTTAAAATCTTATTCAATATCGATACATTTTTTCGTAATAAAATTAGAGAACGAGGAAATTTTGAACGACCTTCGTTCGTCAGCACATTGAAAGTACAAGTTCAAGTTGTTCTTTTTCCACCAAAAGAAACACTCACTCGCCAAACACACTTCTACATAGATTAAGAGCTTTTTACGTAAATCTATAACACACTCAATATTACGAGCGCTAATAAAAATGTCATTTGCTGTAGAAATGTTAAAATAGGTGTAGTAGTTTAATTAGATCACTAATAGACAAAGTACACTCAGAAGTTAAATGTTAGTAAAATAGAAAATTCTTTAAAAAAAACTTAAAAGATTCCCCATTAAAGTGCTTAACTCTAGGTTATTTTGTTTGATATCTACTAGCCATTAAATTATTGAATACATAGATATCAAACGCTTACGAGACCATAGAATCCTTACGAGACCATAGAATCCTATGTCTTAATACAAACCAATTTATGCACTGTAACGTCTCATTAATATCACATTAAAGGGTGTAATAAACTTTGATTTAGAATTTTTCAAACATTTATCCTAAGGAGTATATTTGTGACATTTACATCAGGTTTTCGAGGTAATAACTTTGCCGAAGGTTCTCGAAAACCTCGTTCTTTGTCATATTTAAAATGTTGAAACAGCATTTTCAAGAAAAATGTTAACACTCTTGCATTAAAACCCCTTAATTTAATGAAAATTTTGATTCTTTATACTGTAGTAACCTAATTTCGTCTATAAACTGTTATGTATTTTTTGCTCCTGGTGCTTTCCCGGATATTTTTTAACAAATCTACATTAAATACGTGCTTTACAATCCATTTAAGGGTTAAGGTCTCCCTATTGACATCCTACTTTGAGATACATATTTATCTTAACTTAAAGTTTAAGAAAAAGTATGTCTACAAGATTCATATCGATCCGCTGAGAATCCAAAAGTTAGTTTTTGGCATATATAGCGAAAACCCTCGATATTTAAACCCATTATCAACATCCGCCAGTCTATTTGTCTAGGGAGAGAATCTTAAATTTTTCAAAAAAATTTAATAGAAAAATACACTTTTCCGAAAATTATCCTAATGTTTAATTAATGTCAATTTAAGACAAGATATGATTCAGGCATATATGGCTATATTGCTCTTCGGTTGGTCGGTTATTTAATCACTTGTCAGAGGTATGTGGCATTAGATCCAGCCTATATTAGTGAAATTCCTTAATAGGTTGTTTAGTCTGGATCCAGAGACCAAGTTATACTTTTTCTAAAGGATTGAGACGAATCTGACCTCTATCAAATCTGGGATTAGAGATATCGTGTCCTGAAGTTTTTTTAGACGGTAAGACTGCACGAATACAACTTCATTTGTAAACAAGTAAGAAATTATAGTCGGGTGAGGCCGACCATATAATACCCTACACCAGTTATAAAAATAAAATATGATTTAGTTTTCATAAGAAAGCATTTAAGTGGAATTGTACCTTGCCTCAGATATACTTAAGCTATTTATTGTTGAATAAGATTGTGGACATTTAAGTCATTTTTTGAAGGGGGATTTGTATAGGGGCTAGGGTCAAATGAGGCCCTATAATAATAATATTCATGAGGGTCATCAAGGCTCGTATAGAACTAGGTTTTGCAGCTTTTTGTCGAGATACGAATATATTAAACATAATTATGAACTTAAAAGCCTTATTAATATACTCCCAACTAAAGTGGTGTAGGATATAAATATTGTATTGAAAGTCCATTTTACCAACTTTAAAATAAAGGCTTAATATTTGACATATCTCATTTCTTGGAGATATCTTCACTTACAGCTTGAAAACTCATGGGTTTTGGTATGTGCATGGTATTTATAACACACACATCTACCTAAGGTTGTTCCAAATTAATTTCTGATTCGATTTAACGAAGTCTATCCATCAGTCAACTTTAGCGGATGATGTTAAATAAAGGCGGAATTAATAAAAAAAGTTTTTTGTAAATTTTTTATTGTATCGAGCTTGGGGTGAAGATATCACGAAGAAGAAAGACAATTTGTCAGATATTTAGCGTTTATTTTTATACCCACCATAAAAAAAGATGGGGGGTATATTGTTTTTATCATTCCGTTTGTAACACATCGGTCCATAAATGACCCTATCCCCCACATAAGGTCCCCTTCTGAAAATGACTTTAACGCTCATAACTGACTAAAAGAAGCAGCTATAGCGATGAAATTCGACATAAACATATTTTATAGGAACCTTAATATTATTGTAAAATTTTATAGGGATCGGTCCATAATTGACCCTACCCCCCATATAAGGTCCCCTTCAGAAAATTTCTTTAACGCTCTAAACTGCCTTAAAGAAGCATCGACAGCGATGAAATTCGACATGTATATATTTTATAGGAACCTTAATATCATTGTAAAATTTTGTAAGAATCGGTCAATAAACGACCCTATCCCCCACATAAGGTCCCCTTCAGAAAATGACTTTAATGCTCATTACTAGCCTAAACTAAAATCGTTCTAGAAAATTTGACTAGGATCGGTCCATAATTGACCAAACAAAGAACAACTAGTGTTAAGATATCTGGAAATCTGTGATGGTGGAATTCGAAAATAAATTCGGACTCAGCAAAATTGGAAACCTAATTAGAATAATATTGATATTTACTAATCTTTTCACTGTGAGTGTAGTGAGGGAGTTGCTCATAAATGATCTAATTTACAGTTTAGTTGTACAATTATTTGTAATAGCTTATTAAATCTATTGGAATTTAATTCAAATTCTTCTTATCTAAATGTTTATTTGAAATATTTTTAAAATGCATTCAGCAACAAAAATTTACACTTTCATTTAAAATCATATTTACTTAATTTGTATTGTCTTGTATTTGTAATTTTACTTCTTAAAAATTAATAATATAATAAATTATATATGGCAATTAATTAAATAGTGTTATTTTATAAAATTATGAAAATTTTTGTATAAAAACTGTGAAATTTCTTCAATGAAATCAGAATAGAACTTGAGTTGAAAACAGCAACATACAGTTTAGTTTTCTAAAAACTTTAAACAGACCTTCCCTTTAAAAAATGAAAGTAAGTTGATTTTGATTCATAATTATAAATTTTTTCTACCATTTAATTAATTTAATATTTCCTTTTACAGTTCGCTATTGTTACCTTCTTCACTTTGGCCTTGGCTTTGGGCGTTCAATCATCTATTATTCCTTGGGGTGGTGTAGTGACTCAAGTTGCTGGTCCTCTTGGCGGAATTGTATCTCCCCTTGGTTTGCCTTGGGGTGGTTCTGTTGTAGTTGGTCCAGCTGGTATTCCAGCAGCTGTGTCCGTGCAGGGACCCGGTCCTATTCCCATTGCTGTTCATACTGCCGTTCCCGCAGCTGTGCCCGCTGTTGTTGGAGGTGCCGCTAGTTATGTTGCTAAAACTCGTGGTGCTGTTCACACCGCTCCCTTGGCTGGTCACGTAAACTCGGTAGCCAATGTTAATGTAGCTCCTGCCCCCGGTACCCTCTAAGCAAATGATTTTAATGAAACTAAGGTAGTCAATATATTTATTTTGGTTCTCGTACTTGAAAGAAAAAACTGTCGATGTGGTGCTATAAGGTTTTAACACAAAACCTTAACAATTTACTTTAAGATATTACTTTGTTATTAAAAATAAAAAAATTTTTTAGATGTTATTTCTTTGCTCAGTTGTCAATAAATTATGACGTAAAATGAATATTATACGATTTATTACATTTATTAAATGAGTCAAGAAATCTATACTAGAGCTAGATGAAATCTTCAAAGGAAGAAGAGGTATTGCATAACCATTAAAACAAGTAAAACTCCATAATATGTAATACCATAAATCTGCAATTCATAATTGGCTGACACGATTGGCAAAATACTGCTAATTTGAACTAAATTGTAAAAATCAGTTATCATATCGCTACGAACAATAATATGTGGTGTTGAGACGAGTGCATTCAAATGAGATCCTAGAAGATTAAAAATGGGAATCATGGGAGAAGAAAGGAACTTTTCAAAAACATCAGAAACACGAGGAGGAGGAAGAAGTTAGGTTGAAAAGGAAAAGAGCCGCCATCTTACGCCAAACTTGACAAGATAGGACACCAGGACGATTTCTGCTATGCAGTATAAATACTATGCCGGTAATCCGGTAAGAAAAATTCCAATAGATCAGCAAAGTGTGGTAGAGGATCTGCTTAACAATAAGATAGTGGACCACTCAATCGCTGTAAAGGGTAAAAAACCAATAGAGAGGAAAATTTCTAATAGATCAAAAGAGTAAGGTAGAGGATCTGGTCAACAATAAGATAGTGGACAACTCAATCGCTTCAAAGGGTAACCAAGAGAGCGTGAGCTGCGAGTTCAACATGGGCGTAATATTGATGAGGTTGGCATCTCACCAATGTGCCGGCCCTCTGAAAAACTTGGTAGAAAGTGTCCCCATCCTTGGGACGGCGCTAAGCTGGGACTGGTAAAGAAGAGAGATTTCCGGAGTTCTTAAAATGAACTTTGGAAATTCTTTGAAGCCAAAATGTCTTTTACAGGAAAGAAACCTGCGGGAACTCTACTTGTAATAGGTTTCGGCCAGTACTCCATGGCTAGTCTTGTCAAGAGCAAAGATAGGGCTCATTTCGTCTCTAAAGCTGTCATTATCAAAATTGGGAAGGTACTGATTGGAAAGACTGTTACAACAAGTCCTCTCGGGGCATGTTTCCTTGTGTAAAGAGATGTTACCAATACCTCTAGTCTACCGGGACTATAAACTGCTGTTAACATTTCACTCCCTGGCTAGTCCTGGGATGATTTGAATAGGGGTCTAACCAGAGCACCACATAATCTGGTACTACGGATGGCCAGTTGCCCACAGAACTTGTCCTGGCTGGTCAGTTGGTTGAGGTTCCTTCGGGATCCAGGTGGTGGCTGTGTTTGAAACCTAAATCACAGGAATCAATCTATAAACCAAGCACCCCGGTTAAAATATTGATACACGGTGAAATATAATTTTCATGATGAATTTCTGTTATCGTTCCTAGATTTTAGGAGCGGTACAAACTACTGATAATGCAAAGATTGGGTATGAGGTGGAGTTCTTCTGGTGCTTTTTAATGTGCATTAGATGGATTTGACGGATGTAGTGGCTTATGTGATGTCCTGAACTAAGGTTTGGCAAAACGGTGTGTTGTGCAAGGTCGTCACTGCCCTTTCTTTAATTTATCGGCGATTTTCCTACATGGTTGAGTGTGTTGGAGTTTACTCTAAAACATGCTCAACTTATCACAGTGGGTCTTTGTGGCCACTGAAATAACGCTTGTCAATTGAAATGATCCGTGTTTCGGACTACCAATAAAGTCACCTATGTCCTGTTCTCAGTAGTATGGTTGGGCGACATATAAGGTTTTTCCTTGTCGAGGTTAGATTGAGCTTGCTCATGACAACTGTTCTTCCCTAACGGGACTACTGTGGCAAGAGATTAGATAGCGCGAGTACTCGAACAAAGTGCACGTATACTGGACCGGACATCTATATATGTACGTAAATTGACACCGGCGTGTAAGAAACACAATGGGTGATTCGTTACTTTTATACTCACCCAGTGGATGAAAAAGACCACAGTGAAATAAGGCCCTCAGGGCAGGTGTTCACGTAAAGCATTTCGACATTCGCTACCCTAAACAAAAAGGACATTAGCATGGGTAATATCCGCAATTATGGACTGATTTCAACTATTATTAAGTGGCTTCGTCAAAAATCGACTCAGAGAGTGACTCCTGACATATATATGTATATGGGAGATAAACGTTCCTCTGTCCCATAAATGAGTTACTATTCCTAATTTAGGTCAAACTTTTTATGAAATCAGAACACTGTGCATCATAGCATTTAAATAAAACTAGCTTTTTTAAATTTTACTTTTTTTACAAAGTACTTGCTTTATTAACAGAAAAAAGAGAAAAAATAAAGGCGACAGAAAGGAAATAAGAAACCGAAAAAAAGTGTTGATATGTAAAAAGTGAATAAATTACAGAAAAACACAATAGAAATGAAATTTATGTGCAAATTAGAAAAATTTTAGATTGTAACAAAGAAAAATATTAAAACTAATTTCTTTTGCTCTTTTTTCGGAAAAGAGAAAAAGAATTCAAACATCACACTGGCAGTTTCTGAATGGGCGGGAAACTTGTTGTTTTTTATTGACTACGATGACTGTATTTGGTGGTAATCACTTAGATGGTACCAGGAGCTGGAGCTACATTAATATTTGCTACTGAATTGAGATGTCCCTCCAAGGGAGCAGCGTGCACAGCACCACGAGTTTGGGCAACATAACTGGCGGGAGCAGCAGCTACAATAGGAACGGGAGCTGGCCAAGCGGACACAATTGGTGATGTGACTGCGGTGTAGGAAAGAGGACCACCGGCGATTTCGGTGATTACATTACCCCAAGGAATTATAGATGATTGGGCACCCATAACCAAGGCCAAGGTGAAGAAGGTGGCGATAGCGAACTGCAACAAAATTAAGAAATCACACATTAAACTCCTTCAGCACATTTATTATTTTGTTTTATCTAAATTCAAAATTGCTCAATATTTTCATCACTGTAAGGACATTTTTACACTTTTCACTTTTAAGTCCTTTAATAACTTTTAATCCGTAATCAGCCCCTTAATCAACACTTACTTTCATTTTGAAAGGATTGTCTGGAGATCGCAGAAAACTAAACTGTGTGTTACAGGTTTGAACTCAAGTTCTATTCTGATTTTATTTTATAAAAATCCCTTATTTATATATTAAAAGCTAACACCAACATCATCCAAATAACTTTACTCATTAGCTGGCGAATTTGCTTTATAATAATGCAAAAATAACTTAAGTACAATTAATAGGTTTAATAAATAATAATAAATTTAAATCTTTTTCTCTTCAATAAGAAGAATAATCCCTCAGCTCTATAAAAGTACCAGTTATGATTGAACAAAAATTTTGTTCGAAGAACTTGTAGAAAAAATCAAAAGATTCGAGTTAAAAAAACATTCAATATTACAAGTTGCAGTTAATAAACCTGTCATTATAAGAATATATTTAATAACAACTGTAGAAAACGAGACTTCAATAAACTATATATGGATCACTGGTAACAAAAAAAAAACTCTTTATACACTGCGAAAATCAAGAGCACTAAAATTTCTGTAACCTAGATTTTCAACTAGATATAAAGTAAAAATATCAAAATGATGACATAAAGTGAAAAACACATGAGGTCGGAGGAATTCTGATCCTCGTTCCTTTAGCGGCATCAAATGCAGTAAAGTTATAACACTCACTACATTCGAGTTCGTCAACTATAGTCAGTTCGATCTTCCTTCCAAAAGCTGTCATCAGGTTCCCTCTGGCAGCATGTATTCCTGATGAAACCACCATCTTATTGCAATTCCCGGGGAAAATAGGGGCTATACCTCTAGCCTGTCGAGACTAGAAACTGGTGATGATCAAATGCATCCTCGGCAAATGAAAAATTTGACATGGGGTCGCACCAGAGCGCCAGATAATCTGGAGTCTAGTTGCCCGAAAGACTTTGTACTGGCTGGTCAATTGGTTGAGGTTCCTTCCAAATGCCGTATATGTCTGGATTCTCTTTCCGGTGCTTTTGCCATCTCAACAGATGTCACTGGGTTATGTGACAGAGTAATTTATACTGGATTCCTAAACGCTTTGAATATCTCTCTAACTCTTCGCATAGTAAGGCAACAGTATAGTTTGGCCAATTCGGCAGCTGTTGTCATTCCATGTATCGTTCTATATGATCTGAGAATGGAACTGATGTAAATTAGTGAAATTACGAGAAAGTCTCCTTTGCCCGACTGGAGACTAGTCCCTTGAAAGGGACGTTGAGGTCGAAGAATTCTGATCGTCGTTCATTTAGAGGCATCGAATGCAGCAAAGTTATAACACTCACTACATTCGAGTTCTTCAACTATAGTTAGGTTTATCTTCTCTCCAAAAGCTGCCATTAGGTTCCCTCCGGCCGCATGTTTTCTTGATGAAAACTTCATCATGGAGTTATTGCACCTCTAACCGGCCGGGACTATAAACTGGCGATGATCAAATGTATCCTCTTTCCTTGGAATGATTTGACTTGGGGTCGAACCAGAGCACTAAATAATCTGGTTCTACTGGTGGCTAGTTGTTTGCAGGACTTTGTCCTGGCTGGTCCGTGGTTCTTCGGAATTCACGTAGTGGCTGTGGTTTAATACCCAAATTTGCGGGGAGAGAATGTTGGTTTGAGGTCAGATATATCCAAATGCCATATATGTCTAAATTCTCTCTTTGGTGCTGCTGACATCTCTACAGATGTCACTTGGTTATGTGACAGAGCAATTTATACTGGATTCCTAAACCCTTTGAGTATCTCTTACTCTTTGCTGAATTGCTCTTTGGTGAATTGTCAGGTTGACATTCGGTAGCTGCCTGTCATTCCGTATATCGTTCTTTATGATCTGAGAATGGAACTGATGTAAATTGGTGAAATTTCGGGAAAGACTCCTTTCTCCGACTGGGTACCAGTACTGATTTAGTATACCTTTTAATTCAGGGAAATTCTCGGTGCTGTTGCCATCTCAACAGCTCGCATATTGTTCCATGCCACGCGACCAACGGTTAAGGGCCACCACTCAAAAAAGAAAATCCTACATCCTTTGTCATATTATCTTGATATACATCTGATCCTAATCTATTGGTAGTTCGGACTACCAAATACGTCTCTAGGAGTTGTTGCTGAAGCAACACTGCCTTGTGATGTGGTTGTGCGACTGAAGAAAAAATATGTCTCAACGGATCATTAGAGGATGGGAACGCTAAGACGTCGCTCATGCCAACGTATATACCTGTTTTATCCATCTCAGTGTCACAACGAGATTGTGAATGCATCAGGTGCATTTGTTGGGGTTTCTGAGACCCCGCTGGTATGCCTCCACCTGTCGGGATAGTATCGTGCTATTTGTCTTTCAGCAACGTGAGCACTTAGATAGCTCGAGTACTCCAGCAAAGTGCTTGTACATGGACCGGCAGAATTTTGTAAAAAAAATGTCATCTGAGTGACCTTCACTGATGATAAAAATTAGTAAAATGTGGCTGTTATGTTCGAAAGTTTAAAACGGTATTTCTCACAACGGCGAGCGTTATAGAATCAAAATGTCTAACTTTTTACCATCTTGAACGAATGATGTCAGCTTACATGATCTTTGATTTCAGCGCTAAGTCTCACAGCTCATATTTGACCATGTATTTGAACCACACGTTATAAGATTAGGAAATATTTTTTTTCATATTCGTAAATTTCTTTAAGTGTAATCACCTCCAGACCTCAAACGTTAAAGACCATATACACACATAAGTATGTATATACATACATATACATATGTGTGTATATGCAATATTATGATTAAAATATTACTGCATTGCATTGTAATACCAGTCTGTATTCATAACAAATTCTTACCTTTAATGGTATCAAGTATTTCATAACGTTCTTGAACTTCTGTGTCAGTTGTTTAACACAACGATTACAACACCCCAACGGGTGATTTCAGATTACTCAAGGAGTTGGCGCAAATATTTGGAATTTAGAATTAATTTATAAAGGCATAAATTAATATGTTTGTGTACATAAGGAAATAATATTAAACTAATAAATTACTCTAAAATAATATCAAAAAACTTGATTATGACGTTCGATTCTATTTTTTTCACTTTTCAATGAATAAAACTTACCGTTGAAGCTTTAAAAAACTTATTCATTATATACAGAGTAACAAATTGGTAATGACCCTATTACGTCTGAGAGTCTTGAGAAAAACATGACTGTCTACATTGATGTTAATGGTCGATGTATCGAAATTTAGATCTCGTATGTTTCTCGCGGTCGATGGCGTAAATTTCAGACTGAAAACGAGTTAGGAAATCATGTTGTCTATGTGCTCAAATCACGAAAAAACACTAGATTTTATCTCTTACTGATATTACATCGGTAAAGAGAGAAAGGTCATTAATAGACTTCGACCTAATTATGTTGGAACCCAAAAAGCCAGTCCCCACTGCGTTTGTGTTCCGTAGCTGTACTTTTGGAATAAATATCAAGGTTTGTGATCTTTGTAAGGACATGTCTTCAAGATATTCGTCCTTTTACAGGAAGCCTCAGTTGACCACCTGGAATACATAAGCTCGAAGAATTTATCACTAATCGGGAGCATGCAACTGGATATTGGTATAACATTGAAATTGTCGGTATTCCTTCTTGCTAGGGAAGTGCCAATTTTCGCAAGAGAGTCCACAAAAGTATCACCAGTATCCGTTAATAACATGGAATCCAAAACAATCCCATTATGTAATGTTTCGCCATCTCGTTAAGGGATGACCGGCATTCATATGAGCCATTTTCCACAAACAAATCGGTTGTCTTGCACCTAATCGCCTTTTTAAAAAGAGCCTTAGACAGAGTTGTTCGTAGAACACCAGTTATCATTTCAGTGGTGGTCTTGTGACAACAGAAGAGCAACAGGTAGAAGTGTGAGAACACCACTACAGCCACTTTCACTGTACGGATTAAGTGCGTAAGTGAGTCATACATGGATAAACCATGTACAGTTTTTATATGTCCTACCATAGATGAGATCACAGATTCACTATGCAGTTGTTGATGAGCTTCTGAAGTCTGATCAGTATACCAGTGTTGGAATAATACTACTAATGAATAAGATATTCAGGGAGAACAGATTACAAACCCAAATAGCTGTCGTTTTTGGGACGGAGTAAAGTCAACATTAAATCAGGAATAGTCTGGATTCAGTTCTCTACCCAGCGTTGCCAATTTAGCGCTTTTGGCGCTAGATTTAGCGCCTTTTAACAATCCAAAAGTCGAATTTTTTCCTCTTAGCGCTTTTTTGGAAAAAGGCGCTAAATTAGCGCTTTTTTCAAGAAATGAAAAAACTTTTTAATAACATAAAATTATTCTAGTTTAACAATAAAGATAAAACGGAATAATTTTAGACAGTACTCTGCCGTACAAATTTATTAAAGTTCCTTTTTCTAAATTTTCCATATTATGAGTAAATCAAAGATCTTTTAGTGTGATGAGTTATTTTAAAACTTTAAAACTAAAATAAAAAATATTCACCTCTTTCGCCAAAAATAATTTTGATCGCACAAAGTCTGATTCACAAAAATTTAGCATTTTTTTTATAACTTCACTGCGAAGGAAACAATTACTTGACGATTACTTCAGTTATTTTCACAAAGTTTTGGCTCTTGGTATTTCAAAAAATCTCTTTGACTAGTTATTGAGATCTTGATCGATGATAACAATTAGTCATTGAATAAGAAAATCGGACATATTTGTATTAACCTTAATTTTTTAAATTTCGTTCCCGAATCAAAATTCCAGTTAAGGAGTAATTTTTTTAATAAACATTTTAGCTAAATACTATATTTTTTAAGACTGTGTAAAAATATAATTTTAGCGCTTTTTAGTGCGTTTTGAGTGAATGGACGGCGCGTTTTAGTATAAAATAGTTGACAACACTGCCTCTACCCTATATACAATCGGTTGAATAGCGCTCACGACTTTATATCTGCTTCATAGACTTTGAGAAGGCATTCGATAAACTAAACCTCAAAGTGATTTGGAGTACATTACCATGTAGGAGAACCCCTTTACAACTCATAGGCCTCATAAAGAATAAAACATGCCAAATTGCTAAGTGTCTTATCACCAGTTCTATTCTATATAGTTCTGGACACGATTCTTTATAGATCTCTGAAGAACTGCAGGGGAATAATAATTGATCTTAATTAAGCTGACGATATCAGTCTTTAGCTGCACAGCAACTCAGATCGGCAATTTTACGAAGCATATCT